GAAGAAGAAAGAAATAAGTCGTTTTGGACCGATGACGAAGGGGAGGTTGTTCCGCGAGAACAAGGACTGGCTGCCACCTCGAACTAATTTGAAACGCGGCAGGGAAACGCGTTTCTTACTTCCGTAAGGAGTGCTCGAGAGCGACGAGCACCTGTTTCAATTAGAGGAATAATTCCTCGCGACCATTGTACCCTCGTACCTCGTGATCGCGAGGACTGACGTCCCTTATTATTGTATTAAGTAACGAAGCCGTGCTTGCTGACTTTTCCATTTTTCCTTTCTCCCTTGCAACGAGATAACGAGGGTCACGGCTGGCTCGAGCCGGTGGTTTAAAAAAAATTACTACAACTCATCCCCCCACCTTTCAGCATCGAAAGCTTATTACGACTTTCTTCTCGCGTTGATAAGAAGAAGAAGGAGGGTGACAGATGGGGCGGTTATGCAATTTTAATCGAACGCTGAATGCTCGATACGCAGGAATAGTAAGGTCTGATCGCAAACACATTCGCTTTGAAGAGTTAAGCGTCCCAAGCCGATTGGTCGGCTTCGACGTGCACAAACGCTCCTCCTATACGCCTCTACGCGTGTGTGTGTATATATATATATGTACGCGTATATACAAATATATATATATATATATAGGCGTGTATATGGAACGGTGTTTGCACGGCTATGTAATACAACGTGTCATCACGGTACGTCATACGTGCTACTTTATCAAACGGTACATAGCCGGTCGATAGACCGTGCGAGCGTTAACGCGATAACCCGATAACCCGATGCTCTCCTTAGCTCTCGAGCGGCAACCGACGTCCCAAGATCAACCGACATTCCGTTCTAATTGAATTTACGTATCGCACGGTATTCGAACTCGTTCCGAATTGATCGATCGATTCTTTCCGAAGAAACGTGTTGCAAGAACGTGGTGTAAGAACAACAACGATCGATAGTTGTACGGTTTAATTTATTGCGTATCTCGTCCATCTAATAAACGAGCGTCTAATTTTACATAACGTTTCACACGGTTAGGCTATATATATATATATATATTGCGAAAAATTTCAAAGAATAGGGAGAACGGTTTCAATTAGAGTTCTAAAGGAAAATTTCCATTCGCGATATATGTATTTCGTTGGGTTAAATATCTTGTATAAATTAGATTTATACGAGAAAAAGGAAAGCGCGATCTTGATTCCCCGATAGAAATTGCATGGAAATTTTATACGCGTGCATAGAAAATTTCTTCCATAATGTCAGCGTATTCATCGCTGCATCGTTCATTACCGTCTTTTCATACTTTCCACGAGTTGGTTCGCGCGCAAAAAGAAGAAAAAAAAAAGAGGAAAGTTTTATTTCGCGAGCAAAGCTTCTTGTTCTTAAAAAATGTGGAGCAAACGTGGAAATCGTAATGGTCTTCGTATCAACGAAATTCCGTGTTAATAAAACTCTCTCTTTTAACCGTCTTTATTATTAACAAAATTTTAACGCGCAATTCTTCTTACGTATTATTTTTTTTTCTTCTTCTTCTTCCAATACAATATTGCTCGTCTCGTTTCAATCAACAAACTACTGTTTTAAGCAGCGAGTACGAAGCAGCAAGACTAATCTATGTAATTAGGTGATGTTAATGTTAAAAGTAAGTAGGAGGCGAGTTGAGGAACGCTTTCGAGTATTTCAACCTCGTTTAACGTTTATTTGCAATTTACGCGTGTGACTGGTTAATTAATTTATTCGAATTATTTTCCATATTTTCTTTAAATTTTCACCTCACGATCAACGTTCGACGATTACAACAAGTTTCGTTCCTCCCTTGATACGCGTGTTCACAAAGAGTCGATGCGAGAATACGAGATTTATACGGGCCGTTTCGAGCCGTATGATAAATATCGTGGATACCGTACGCGCTTCCAATAATACGTTTAATCCGTGCAAGCTCTTTCTTCTTCAAACGTGCTGTTCCTCGCGCGTGTAAATACCACGTCGAGAGGCGACATTTTTAATATCGAGTCGAAGGGATAGAAGCGACGCGTGTATCTTCTCGCGACAAAGAAATGCTTGTAAAAAGTCCGTCCAACAAAGCGCGAAATGACATCAAGTATCTGTGTTCTACGTCGCTTTGACGTCGTCGGTTGTACGCTGCCGTCGGTCTACGCTTCAATGGCGCGCATCGAGCATACAGTCGTTAGCCTCTGTAACGTATCTGCAACCCCCATATGCGCCTGCGTGTACATATACATCCCGTGAAAGCAATTTGTCTACGCGCGACTATTCAATGTACCGCGTACACACGATCCCAACTACACGACGATCAATTTCCACGTATAATCCAGATACTAATCGTTAACCAAGTTTTATTCTTTTTTTTCTTTTTTTTTTCATTTATTTATTTACACCCGTATCGGCAAAAAAAAATTGCGGGTGCATTAATATTACGTAGATTACGTCGAGAAAAAGCATTCGCTATCCGTTGGAGTACGATAAAACGGGATCGCTGCGATCACGCAAAGTCGCGAATGAAATTTTCGACCGTGGAAACTAGAGAGATTCATCCACTCGGCTTGCATGGACGAAAAACGCGCCGTTCGAGTCAGTTTTATTTTTGTTTTTTTTTTTCGTTTCGTATCGATACCCCTCGACGCAGAGGAGACTCGAAAGTTTACGTAACGCTCGGTGATCGGTGAATGTGGCCTATATTTTTTTCTTGGAAACGCGTCTTCAGCGTGTTATTGCATTTTTCTAGGAATCGCAGTTGTTTGAGATAAGTCCGAGGCGAGACCGAGCAAACGATGAAAAATTACCTTTCTCTTCGCGCGACGATATCTCGGCGACCGGAGGTCGTATCGGGATGAAACAAAAAGCGTTTTAAAGGGGAAGGTTCCACGCTTCCGACGATCTTTCGTCCATCGGTCGAAAATCATTATCTTCGGAGTTATAACGGTTCAAAGTTTTTCCAATTTTAATAGCACGATATACCGGTTTTTCCTTCGTGCAACATTCTCGAAGCAAGCTCCTCTGGTCCCTCTTGTCCATGTCGCGCGTACACCGATACGCATCGATTTTTTTCCCTTCGCGTCGAGGAAAAAGAAGCGTCGAGGAGGTAATTGCTAGAACAAGCTCGTGCTTTTGTGCGCGGGATTGATCGATGACACCGATGACTTTGCGCGCAGTTTCGCGCTGCATTATGTCGCGCCAAGTTACGAGTAGCGCGTGGCCCCGTGGCGTGTGACGGCCGTTCATCGTCAGATGCGCACGTACATGCAACGTTCTCTCGTTTATGCCGGATATTGTCGCGCACTCGCGCGGGAACACGTATTCAATTGTCGGGGCTACATTGTCCCCGTGTACACCCCGTGTGTAATGAAAAACATTCTCGTAAAACGTGGCGCTCGCTCTCTCTCTCTCTCTCTCTCTCCTCTCCTCTCCTCTCCTCGCCTCGTACTCGAACCTCGTAGTCCTCGTTCTTTTGCGACGTGATGTTTTATAAGAAAAAAAAAGAGGGGAGGAAGAAAAGACGAGGGGGAGGGGGAAAGGAAATAAGTAGGAGGAAGGAAGAAAGAAAGGGGGCAGAGGAGCGGGGGGAGAGAGGGGGAGAGGAAAAAAGAACGAACGACTCTTTCTTCCATTTCCAGACAGTTGGAAGGTAGACGATAGCGTGACAAACGCGAGACACTTTATATCGAACGGAATGCCGCCTATTATCGTCGATCCTCGTTTGAATTGCAAGGAGCACCGGCGAAAAGTCGAATGCGAACGGACGTGGAAAGGGGCGGGCTCGCCTTCATAGCGAAGCCACTGAATAAGGCCACTGTTAAAGACCTCTCTCTCTCTCTCTCTCTCTCTCCTCTCTCTCTAC